GTGGTGGGAAGCGAACACTCGTCCTCCGGGGTGATAATTTGATGACGTTACCACTAAACCGCATCTTCAAAGCGCTGCTGCAAGATGAGCATGAGTGGTGGTACTGATAACCCAGAAGCGGTTGAAGTCTTTATCTATCTCGAGAGTTGCATAATTGTTGATGGAGGTGTGTGAGAAAAAGATTTCGCAAAGCGTAAAAATAAAACAAGATTTGCGTATGCTAATTGGTGACATTCCTGGCATAGGCGTGGTATAGCCCCTTCTAACAGACGGTACCTATTATTGTTCTACGGTAAAGAAATCTGGCCTAACCAAATAAAAGATGATAAACCACTACCTTTTGCCGGTAATCGTTTATCTCTGCAATATTCCTTGTGTGAGGTTTCAACATGGCGTGAGTAATGAGGATAGACGTATCAGTGGTGAATAGATTTCCGTTCAGAGCGATTGTTAGAGGCGGTTAGGGCACGTACAACAAAGACAAAGACTGCCAAACCGTGCTTCATTAACGTTCAGTTGACCACAGTGGGGAAAACCGGTGAGAAGTGAATAGGTTTTGATGTGGCCTAGCGTCTTGACGGAACTGTATACGGATCTAACTAACTTCTGTCAAGTATCCCGGTCTCCAAGTTTGGGCCCCGGGAAATTGAGCTGGAAAAAAACCCATCGGATATGGTGTCCCATCGAGGTTAATGGCGTGGCAGCACTCTACGTTTTGAAAATTTCAAACGTAAAGCTCGACAAGTATTGCGGAAAGCACATTATGATGCAGCACTGAAATAACAAATGTTATATCACTGTTCATCCGAGTCCGAACTGTTTATAGTTAATTTCATACAATTCGTGGTTTTTGTTTTTGTTGTTTTTTTAATTCATGTAATTCATGTAGTAATTACATTATTAAGCATACGAAGATCTGAACCGGTTTGCACTACTTTCTAGTGATTCGGTTCACATCTCTTTAACTCCAATACAGGACGAGGTTAATAAAGTCGTAGGATGTCAGTGCCGGTTTCATTCAGAACTGTTCGGAAGGTCGAGTACAATAAATCATCGGTTCCCAGCCCGGCAAATTCACAGTTCGAGTACCGGCTGGGAAACACATAAATAGTACCCACTGTTGACGAAATCTAACAAGGTAAAAACAGTTGTACAGTACTCTCTGTCGACAGTCTTTCTTAACTGTACGCAATGTTTGGTAGGAATCCCGAGTAACAAATTGGAAATGTGTTATCAGTGGGATAAGCAATAGACCGCGGGTTAAGGTTGACGAAAATCTGAAAGTCCAGAAACAGAATCGAATCAATAGACCGCGTATGCACATGATCACACGGGTGTGGAAGACCGATGAAAAACCTAGGGGACGGAAACGGAAACTCAGCCAACCCTACTGGGCGTGTGAGTGCGTTTGTGTGCGTGGACGGATGGGGGACGTGTGGTAATGGGGTATATGTGAACAACGAGATTACCGAGATGAAAACACAAACATAATAAAAAAGGAACCAAAAATTTGGTACTAGGAGACCTACCTGAGAGCAGAAGAGAAGTGATTCACTTGCCAAACTGCATTCACATGCAACAAGCCAACTCGGTAACGGTACGCGTTGACGATCAGTTGCCCGCAACCATGGAAGGAGTGGTCTTGTAGCTAAGCTTTTTATCCAATGCACGATCGGCTGTAGTGTATGAAAAAGATTATTCGGTGACACGTGTTGGGTCAGATGAAATCGCCAACGAACAAAGATAAATTGCATACAGATGATTAGAGCAGCCATGATTGGCTGGATCCTTGAAGTTGCCAGGGAAAGATCAATCGCTAGTGGATCACACTCATCCAAAGATCTTGAAGATTCCGCCGAAGCGGTGATATTCGTTTCACCAATTCCAATTTTGGGCCACCAGAAAGCGCCCAGATTACGTTCGGAGACCCGATAGCGGAAGCAGACAGCCGTTCCCAGATCGGGCATATTGTTAGAGGCTAAAGTGACTGGTTCGAGTAAAGACAGATCGATAGGGCTTGTGGAAGGTAACAGATCCCAGTCGACGGGATTCGCAGCAGCAGATTGATCTTTCTCGCTCGAATGTATCTCCCACACGGGTATGGTGATGATGTCCACATCAGCTAGGGTTGCCGGTGACCCCGTTAGAACACTCTCGTTACTATCCGAAGAAAACAAAAATGAAGAGATACGAAAAAGATAACCGGAAATGAAATGCTGTCTATAAAACAATCTCGATCAGAAAAAAGTGGAGAGAAACAGAGTAATGAACGTGTATGTAGATAGGACAGTCTGATTCGAAGGCAACATTGGTCAGCTACACACACCGGCAGCATAGTGCGGAAACAACTTCATATCAAGAAATGCTTCACATAAAGGAAACTATTACGGAAGAAGCCATAAGCGGTGGGACTTGCATTCTTCACACTAAACACACAATACCCGTAGAAGCGTTAGAAACCAGAACAAGAATCATTGACAGTGCGATGTCTCGATCTGTCGATTCAACAAGTGTACTAGCTGTTATGAGAATATCCAATAGACACAGAACATTCCGGGACACGGGTCCGCATTGTGATCAATAGCAGTGCGGAGATAAACTGTATACCCTTACTTAACGGTATACGAATTAAAGAATAAACCCACTACAGTAGATGACTTGGACGATTAAATGTATATTTTAAAACTGGCATCGGTTAATGGATTACATTGAGTTCATCAATGCTCTCGTTTCATTACCAAATGTTTTACCGCCACACACTAACGGAAAGAGACATGATCTTTTGGATTACAACCAGACAGATCGGAAGCAGTCCTTGCAGCGCGTATTTAGATAAGTCTCCAGCCCACACTAGTTGTTGTCCTATGCTTGGTTTCTTTCATATCGGATCACCCGCATCGTTAGTTTAAATTAACCGATTAAACCGAGAGTCAAAACATCCGCTTTGGTGTAGTAATCCAACCCATATTATTACAGCGAACCCCAATAGATCGCGTGAAAACCTTCAAATTGACCGAAGACTTTTCCCATTAACAATATTCTGTGATCAAATAAAAACAACTCCAATTTGGTACAAACCACATGGCACAGATACCATCGATATCAGGTAAGCATTTTAGCAACAATGTTATGGTCACCGCTCGTATAAAATATACCAAACGTGTGCCCCGTAAAAGAAGATTACACTACTCGTGCGTCTAAGACCTCGTGACTCTCGGTCAATTGCCTTTTCAACGAAAACAAACTAAAGCTAATTGGGGACTGTTGCGTAACGCCTTACCAGACCTAATGAACAGACGTAACTGAGAATCACATGATGATGTTTATCATGTGTTTATATCCGTCCGACAGTGTGTGCACAGTGTAGATGAGGTGGCAGAGGAACTTTGTACAGAAAATATTTTTCACTGCAACCATCCACTTTTTCGAACCTGAAACGTGCCGCCAATTCCTCAAATACAATCCGCTGATTAACCGTTACCTTTACTTTCTCAATGATTTACAAGCCTGCACGCTCTGGCACTGTGAGGTCATAGAAAACTGTGCTTTGGGTTGCTGAGTGGATAATAATTTCAATATTTCGTTTGCATTCGTAGACGGCGACCACGGCCTGACGAGGTTCAGTACAGTTTTTGCAACCATTAATTATGCACTTTCGTGCGCCGGTTTTCGTAGTTGTCTTTTACTGCCCATTTGGATAGAGGAGTAAAAAGAAGATTGGAATGTTGAAAGCAAATTCAAACGGAAGATGGAGCCTTACAAGGACACCAGGATCAAACACTTATTTTGAGAATCGACCGGTCGACTAACAACCAGCTACAGCAAAGAACAGAAGAATATGGGAGAATGGCAAAAGTGACGCATGGTTCCGCCATGACCTAATCAACAGGACCGAGGAAAGCAACTGTTTTGCGCAGAAAATTTCCATTTAACGGTCGAACGACTGACGTTCACATTCACCTTGCCGTTTCACAGATTCTGTCTTCTACACCAAATTATCACCCCGGAGGAAGCGTGTTCGAATCCCATCACCACGGACTGACTCTCCCCATTTGTGTGTTTGTTATACGGCAGCCGTTTGATCGGCCGCTTTCCTCTTCCTATTGTATACTCAACAGAAAGAACTAAAATATAAAAGACAAATATCGGACAAAGCATTGATTGCAGGATGATGAGCCGTCTAAAGGAATTGTGTAAGCAAGTTTTATGTATGAATTGATGTTTTGTTTAGCTGTCTCCATGATTAGAACGTTTCATGTGAAATACAACGAACACGACTGACGCGAGCGTAGTATGAAAGTCGAATAAGTGTTAACAAAACAAGTGAGGTTTGGTTAGCAAAAAAGTGCGATCAGGACGGGCACACACACTCGAACTAACCATTGAAATCGTTCGAGAAGAAGAGGCCAGAGTCGTAATTCGAACAACGGGTACAGATGTTCGTTCCACAGTGTGATGAGACGTTCTTGAAGAGGCTACGGGATCCAAAAAAGCCAAAAAAGGAATGATTGCGATCAGTGTGTGTGGTCAGCATTTGAATTCGGTCGTCGACACCGAGGCATCACGTAGTATCGTCAGGTGGAATTAGAACTTACCAATTTCATGGACACATCGAGCTGATGCTGTAATGCGATCAGTCTCACGGTACTTGTCATTGTGATAGCCAGTAGATCCAAACTCAATATATTACGACGCAACAAAGGCTGCATAAAAGATAAAGGGCAAGAGATAGAAAAAAAACATCTCAATAATAGGTAACAGTTGTGAACATACACTACAAAAATTAAGATTGACAATCGCTAGGGGGGGAAGACAAGACAAGTATCACTACTACCAAAAGTCTCAATAAACTTCCAAAATCCTCAATATGGTCAAGAGTGGGTGGTGTCTTGGGTTTGGATGGGTCACCCGCAACCTGCATCTCGTGAAGTGCTCCCATATGACTAAGCATTTGAAATGAGCCCCACATGAAAAGCTTTTGCTCACTGCGGAGTTCTTTTCCAACTAAATTGGAAAACGATGAAAATCCAAAATCCGCGGCTATAACTAGGTCGGCGTTCAAATAACAGTTCACCTAGGGGAAAAGAAGAGGCGTATGAACCCCAAATACCCACACCTATACGGTTGTGGCAGTGGATATGGTTAGATGAGGAACGGAAATAAATTGGGCCCCCGGAACGTTCAAACCGGCACACACAAAAACAAATGATCCGAGTAACTGGACACAGAACCTCAAAAGATTAGGGTTTCCACACGCTGTCTTTGGATGGCCAAAAGCTCCGGCTGTGAAACTCCCCAAGAAATTTCACATGCCTTGGCCTGAGCAACCTGGCAGTATTGCGCCCAAAAGAAAATAACGAGACAGTTTTCTTTCTTTTTTTTTATAAAGATCAATCAGTGAGCTGTGATTTATTTGACACAGTCTGTACTTAGACACATAAAATGTAAATAAAGTACATGACTAATGTCGAATGAAATTGAACTTTGGTCGCATTCGTAATGCTCAACGGAGCGGCAATTTATGGGGA